CAGAAAGAAACGTTAGAGGAAACCAGAAGTTCTGGGTTGCTGCGCGTTGAAGTTCTGGGTGTTAAAACAGTGAGGAAAACCTAGAAGTTCTGTGTGCTGTGTTATAACAGCGAGAAAGACCTAGAAGTTCTGTGTGCTGTGTTACAATAGTGAGAAAGACCTAGAAGTTCTATGTATTGTGTTAAAACAGTGAGAAAGACCAAGAAGTTCTGTTTGTTGTGTTACAACAGTGAGAAAGACCTAAAGTTCTGTGTGCTGTGTTACAACAGTGAGAAAGACCTAGAAGTTCTGTGTGCTGTGTTACAACAGTGAGAAAGACATGGAAGTTCTGTGTGTTGTGTTACAATAGTGAGAAAGACATAGAAGTTCTATGTGCTGTGTTACAACATTGAGAAAAACCTAGAAGTTCTAGTCCTAATTCTGAGCCTAGTTTTCTTCAAGAAGTTATGATCCACAATTTTTCTACTTAGGCAATGATATGTACAGTCTCAACACTATGATATCTACATTTTTAATGATGCTCTGAATGAAAAGTTCAAAGTCAGGATGACTTACCTTGAATTTGAAGCGTGTGTTTGGGACTTGAGCTGTTGTCTTCGAATGTTCTGGGGTTAGTAAGAAACGAAACAGAAATGTTATGTTCTTTGATTAGAAGGGAAGAACAGGAGTATTGTTTTTTTTTAGAATTTTGGGTTTAAGCCGTACACCCTAATTGCTAACAATGTATGAAAGCAATAAAAATGCAGAAAATAAATCCTAAGCTATTACATCATTTCAGGGATGGGGATACATATTTACAAATGGAGATTGCAAGAATTTAAATTCTAATTATCTATTATAACCATATTGAATTGTACAATACAAAAAAAGGAAAGGATTTGTTTTAAAAAAGGGTTTTTTGGTCTTAATAAAAGAAAATAAAAATAACTAGTTAATAAAAAGAAAATATTTTTTATGTCTTTTTTATATTAATAAAAATAGTATTAATTCTAAAAATAATAAAAATAAGAAAGAAAAGGAAAAATAACGAAAACAAGATCATCATGTTGCTGAAAACAAAAATGAGAGGGACCAGAAGTTCTGATGCTAAGCACGCTATAGTTCAGAAAGAAACGTTAGAGGAAACCAGAAGTTCTGGGTTGCTGCGCGTTGAAGTTCTGGGTGTTAAAACAGTGAGGAAAACCTAGAAGTTCTGTGTGTTGTGTTATAACAGCGAGAAAGACCTAGAAGTTCTGTGTGCTGTGTTACAATAGTGAGAAAGACCTAGAAGTTCTATGTATTGTGTTAAAACAGTGAGAAAGACCAAGAAGTTATGTTTGTTGTGTTACAACAGTGAGAAAGACCTAAAGTTCTGTGTGCTGTGTTACAACAGTGAAAAAGACCTAGAAGTTTTGTGTGCTGTGTTACAACAGTGAGAAAGACCTGGAAGTTCTGTGTGTTGTGTTACAATAGTGAGAAAGACCTAGAAGTTCTATGTGCTGTGTTACAACATTGAGAAAAACCTAGAAGTTCTAGTCCTAATTCTGAGCCTAGTTTTCTTCAAGAAGTTATGATCCACAATTTTTCTACTTAGGCAATGATATGTACAGTCTCAACACTATGATATCTACATTTTTAATGATGCTCTGAATGAAAATTTCAAAGTCAGGATGACTTACCTTGAATTTGAAGCGTGTGTTTGGGACTTGAGCTGCTGTCTTCGAATGTTCTGGGGTTAGTAAGAAACGGAACAGAAATGTTATGTTCTTTGATTAGAAGGGAAGAACAGGAGTATTGTTTTTTTTTAGAATTTTGGGTTTAAGAGTGTTTGAGTGTTTTATTCTCTCTCTCTTTTTGTATTCAATAACTCTCTCCTCAAAAGTCAGCCCCTTAGATGTGTGGTGGAACAATTTTTTTATAGATGAGTTTGATGTGGTTTTGGGGGGAAAAACAAATGGGATTTGAACCGTTTTGGCATACTGTTTCATTGCTTTTTAAATACTGTTTTTATGTGCTAACTTTGTGCAAATATGCGGTTTGAGAAAATGCAGGCGTGGACTGGGTCAGCAGCAATTTTGGAGTGTTATGGCAGCTGGATGCAAGACTGTGTTATTGGAGTACAACAGACTGTTCAAAACGAGATTTTGGGGCTTGGTGATGTTCTGATCGAAGAGTAGAGCTTCTATATGTTCTGATCGAAGGGTCATGTTCTGATCGAAGGGTCATGTTCTGATCGAAAGGTCATGTTCTGAATCACTTTTGCAAATTCTGATTGTACTTGTGTGAAAACTGACCCAGAAGTTCTGTCCAAATTATGATTTAAAAATGCTCAAAATTTACTAAGTGTTTTAGCTTCAAGGATGTCTTCATGGATTTATAACTTGAAATCCCAATCTTTCTAGAAGAAGTTCTGTTCTACAATGTTTTAGATCTCATTGAGATTTATAACTTTCATATTAGAAGTTCTGATTGAGTCATCTTGCATCATGATGAAAATCTGGCCCAAAGTTATGAAATTATCATATTTTCTTAACGCTTAGAAAATTTTCTAAGTGTTTAGAAATTTGACTTTTCAAAGTAATCTTTGACTTTTGATTTCTTGATGAACCAACTTCATGTCTTGATGAAATATAATTTTTGAAACTTGATTTTTGATCAAAAAGTCAAAGTTTGACTTTTCAGTATGCATTTGACCATTTTGCCCTTGTGAATGACTTTATTGGAAAATTGTAATCCGAGACTTGAAACTTGACAGAAGCAATCCTGAGGGTCCAGGATGATCCATTGAGAAATGAGAGGGCAAATTTTGGGATACAACAACAAGTTATGGTGTTTTCAGTTAAATTTGTGGATCCGTTGCGTAGCAACGAAAGTTGTTTTATTTTTAAAGACTAAACAGGTTATTACCGGTTCATCCAAATTTTATGTGTTATGTATCTGAACTATAGGTGATTGAATATCGTTGTTTCCAAGTTGAAAGTGTAACATTCCATTTGTTTGTTGAAAATTTTGTAACTCTGGTTTTATATAATTCATTGGATAGAAATGGGTTGTTACACAAACCACTTTGATCGCAGCCAAAGTCTTTATGAGAATCCAGACTACACGAAGTCTCTCAAGGAACCTATCAACACCAATTGATTGCAAATTTGTGTATACAAAGATGCTTCTACATAAGTAGATTACACAAAGTTTAAATACAACAACACAAAAGTGTTGATAGCAAGATATGAACAACAACTCCTTTCTTATTTACAAAACTATACAAAAGATTTCTCTACAGAGTTTTTGTGCATTAATTTAGTGTAGTTTTGTTGAGCTGATTCGTTGATATCAAATCATCATCTCTAGAAACTGTCATTTTTATGAGAACATCTTCCCCAACACCACTTCCAATCAGACACAAAATTCTAGAAATTATCATTTTTATTAGAAACTGTCATTTACTTTCATCTCTGCTATTATTACTACCAAACACCATATGAGCTTCAAAGAAGCTAGTATTCATCCTCAATGGATTAAAGTCATGAATGATGAAATTCAAGCTCTCACCAAAAATAACACTTGGACTTTCACTCCACTACCATAATGTAAGAAAGCCAGAGGCTGTAAACGAGTGTACAAGACTAAGTTCAATTCATATGGCATAATTGGAAGACACAGGGCAAGGTTAGTTTCTAAGGGTTTCACACAAGTTAAAGGTATTGACTTCTTTGACACATTTTCCCCTATTCTCAAATTAACCATTGTAAGATTACTTTTTTCCTTAGCTTATTCTTTAAATTTATATCTTTTCTAACTTGATGTACATATTGCCTTCCTTCATGGAGATTTGGATGAAGAAGTATACATGACCTTACCTAAAGGCATTGATCCTTCTTATCTAAATCAAGTTTGCAAACTATCAAAATCGATTTATGGATTAAAACAATCCAGTAGGCAATGGTTTTATCCAAAGTCATCTTATCCAATGACTTCAAACAATGTGAAATTCTAGTATAGAGATTACAAATGTCCTAACACATGTTGAGACATTGATGTCTGCATAATCATGCATGGACAAAACACAACGGATTGATATAACCTTATTAGTTTAAAGTCGTAACAGATCGGTGAATCACACCTACTCCGAGGGCTACCAAGCCAAGAAGGAAGTTCACTATCAGCATTATTAGTTCAAAGCCAAACTTCCCCGTTTACAACTTCTCGCCTAATCCCTACCCAATGCAACTTCTACCTAGAAACATCTTAAATATGAGAAATCGACATCTCACTTCCTAAATCACATCAGTGATATCGACCAACCATAAAGTTCAGTCAAGACACTTGACTAACAAACCACACTTAAATTTGCTTCAAAGCTTCATCCAAAAACAATATACATTCTATGCTTAAAAGCTTAATAATGAACAACATATAATTATGACTCTATAACATCAATCGTACTCTCATACCAACATGGTATTTGAGAGGCTCACATATAGCAACTCTCCTAGAGAATGGCTTACAGACTCAGTCTTAATAATCTAAACTTTTGTATTTTTGGCTAGTACCTTTTCTAGGTCAATAACCTTCTATTTATAATCATCTTCTAGACTGGATTTGACTTCTAAACCGCAGCCGATCTGTAATAAATAAAGCTGCAGATATATCTCCTCAATTATAGGACTTCTTATCATTAGTTTCCTAATTTGTCTCCATAATTAGAAACTAATAAACTTCTTGAAATCAACTTGACTCTTCTTCAATTTGAACGCCACCTAAGACAACATAATATTCCTAGAATATTATGCATTAGATAAATCTTAAACCGATCCAACAGTCCAGTCCAACATGGTCAAGATGTTGAATTCTGCATAGAACATCTCATCTGACATGTTGCTTCAGTTGATAAAACATCTCAATTGATGAAACATCTCAACTCAACATACAATAAGACTTCTTGCTCAACATGCTAGAACGTCCTATTAAACATATTGTTGCAATATTTATTTTACTAAAATTAATGTCAACCACAAAATAGAGAATCGACACAATGTATTGCTGATCATTCACTTTTTATCCATAAATCTCCTGACAGTTTTACAACTTTGCTATTTTACATTGATGAACTTATTATTATAGGCAATAACATGAATCTCATCAATAAGGTCAAAGCAACTTTGCAGGAAAACTTTCACATCAAAGATCTTGGATCCTTGAAATACTTTCTTGGACTGGAAATAACTAGAAGCAGCTCGAGCATCAACATATGTCAAAGAAAATATTCTCTGGATCTTCTGTCAACAGCAAGACTGCTAGGCTGCAAACCTGCATCAACACCAATGACCAGAGATACCAAATTGAAGTCTAATGAAGGCACACCTTTACAAAATCCAACCACCTTCAGAAGACTTGTTGGCCAACTCATTTACTTGCTCAATACTCGACCTGGCATCTCCTACTCTGTCCAACAACTAAGTCAACATATGAGCCACCCAACAAATATTCAAGAAGCAGCCTACGATTTCTCGCAACTCCATCAAAGCTGAATACAGAGTCATGGTGTTCCCTGTTTGTGAACTCCAATGGTTGACCAACATATTGAAACAACTTCACATCACCTTCACACAACCAACATTGCTCTACTGTGACAACGCCTCTGCCCGCCACATTGCCTGCAATTCATTGTTCCACGAATGCACCAAACACATAGACTTGGTTCGTCATTTGGTTCGTGAGAAGCTCCATCTTAGCCTGTTCCATATTGGCCTCATTGAGTACTAAATGGAGCGAACACTTGAGTTTCCAATATGTTGAATGTAACTAAGGATAAAATATACTCTACTACAAGACCACCGGCACCAAGGTTTGAGGTTATTCAAATTAACAAAAATATTATAGAAATTTGACCACTCATATCGGAAGAGACAAAAGTAATCTGATTCCTGTATAAATTGTTACAACCTCAAATACATACATGTAAAACAATAGAAGAAAAAAATACACACCTAGTATATATCTTCAAACACAACATTTTACCTTGAAGATCATATACACTAATTTTCCACTACAACATGTTTGTTTATTCAATTAATTGATTCTCCTCAACGTGCTTTTGGATCCACAATTTCAGAAAAAACACTTTCCTTATTAAAACCATAGCTATTCTCCCCACTGCTACTACCAGTCATAGTACTCACACTCACTTCAGTACTCTTATTTAAATCCGAAACATATCCAATATTCGCCCCAGTACTACTAAACACATCATCATCATCATCATTTTCCTTTCTTCTTTCACCACCTTCCACGTCATTACCAAAAACAACAGCATCCACAACAACACCCTCACGTTGTTCCGCACTCTCTTGTAACTGCAAGGCAAATTCCAACATCCATACGACGTCGTTCATCGACGGTCTCATCGTTCCATCTTCCAACAAACAACTAACCGCAATTTCACCGAATTTTTTTAAACACTCCGGCGCTATACTCCACTTCACAGAAGGGTCCACGATACTCCCGAGGGCCCCACTTTTGTAACATAATCTCCCCCAATCAGCGAGTGACACCTGTTTCTTTTCCGCGGTTCTAATAATAGGTGGCCTAGCGCAGAGTATCTCAAATAAAACCACTCCGAAAGAGTACACGTCAGATTTCTCTGTTAAACGCTGTCGTTTATAATACTCAGGGTCTAAATAACCAACGCTACCTTTAACAACAGTGCTAACATGGGCCTTGGTTACACCCGTAGGCCCAATTCGAGAAAGCCCAAAATCAGAAACCTTCGCGATCCATTTCTCATCTAACAGAATATTCGTTGTTTTCACGTCACGGTGAATGATCGTGTGTTTCGCACCTGTATGAAGGTAGTGTAAACCACGCGCCGCGCCTATTGAAATCTTCAACCGCTGTTTCCATGATATAGCAGGGTTATCAGTGTTGTAGAGATGATCGCGTAGGGTTCCACGCGCCATGAAATCGTAGACGATGATCATTTCATTGTTCTCGTTGCAGTAACCGATTAGAGAAACGAGGTGAAGGTGCCGGAGATTTGAAAGCATGTCGATCTCGTTGATGAACTCGTTTTCTCCTTGCTGTGAACCCGGTTTGAGACGCTTGATCGCGACCGGTGTTGAACCGTTGTCGATGTAGCCTTTGTAGACATGGCCGAATCCTCCTACGCCGACGATGAAGAGTTCGTCAAAGTTGTTCGTGGCGGCGCGTATGTCGAGGAGTGAGAAGCTGCGGCAGAGATCTGACGGTAGATTTGAGTTTTGAGTAGTGCTTGACTTCGTCGTTGCAAACGACAGTGGACCCCACTTCGAAGTGGCTGAAGACTTTGACTCTTTTGTCGTTGTAGCCTTTTCCTCTTTCGTTTGTCTTTTTTTTCTACAAACAAAGAAAACGACAAGGGAAACGAAAACAATGACGAAGACGATTCCCAAAACGACGCCAAGTATTGTCGTTCCACTTATGCTTTTACTTTTCTGTTTCTCTAGAACCGGATACTGTACCGGATCCGGGTTGGGTCCAGCTAGATTCTTTGAACCCACATCACTGATTTTGAAAATTTCAAGTCCGTTTAAAAACGGGTCACTGAAGTCGGTGGTTCTACCATCACCATAAGGATGCATTTGAATAGAGAAATTAACTTTTTTGTTATTACTATTCTTTGGAACTGAAACGGCGTAGTTTCTTTGCACGGCAACCCCTTGTTTACCAACGGTCCATTTTATAACATCTGCTTGTTCTTCCGCGACGTTTCCTTGTAAATAAACGATGAAGACTCTATTGCCTTCGGTAGTTATACTGGGGTCGAGTTCACAGAAGTGGAGCCTTATCAAGTAAAAGAAACCAGAATCAATTGGGAATTCCCAAGTTAGGTTTAAGAGTTTGTTGAGAGTAGAATTTGTGCCCAAGCCACGTGATGATCTGTAGAGGTCTTTGGGTGCCACGTAATCGGGGTTTACGGTGATGTTCCTTCCTATTAAGTCTTCAGAGACAGAGTCACGTGCTGTTGGAGTTCTTAAGTAGTCTGTGTCGTTTATGTTCCAGTTTCGGAGCATACCTGTGTCTTGAATTTTTGGTGAGTTTGCTTGCACTCCAACTTTGATTCTGTAATCTGCAACGAAGTTACATAAATTAAGTGTTGATTTGGCAAGAACAGCAACTCGGGCTAAGTTAACATAATTGTGATTAAGAACAACTTACAATATTCAAATTTATATGCAAAAGCTAAGTTAACATAATTGTTTACCTGTCTCAAGTGCAACGTTGGTTGAAATACTATATGCTGGTATGATGGTGGACCCCACAAGTGAAAAACCAGAATCAGTGGTTGGTGTATAATAGAGATCATCAGGCATGGATAAGACTTCAATTCCATTAATGAAAGCATAGTTATTAGAATTTCCACTACTTGGAATAAAACTCAAATCAAGCCTTTGATCATCACCAACGTTGATAACATATTCTTTGAATATAATATCAACACCTCCAACATCAGCGTTTAACGAAGCATTAAAATCCTTAAGAAGTGTGAATCCGTTAGATACAACGGTGAAGGAAGCATCGTAACGGTTGAAACCGTTGGAATAGGTAGAAGGGTAGAAAAAGAGACGGAGGAATTTAGGACCTTGAGTGACGGGGAGAGAGTAGTTGAATATTGAGTGTGATAAACGAGCTGTTGCATAAGGGGTTTTGTTGATGGAAGGTTTTTGTGGTGTTGTTGGAACAGAAATTGTTGTTGGGTTGTTGTTTTGTGGTGATAACAAAAGTTTTGAGTTTGTGTCTCCTGTCCATGTTCTTTCTCCGTCGGTAGAGTTTCCTGTTGTGCCACAATTGAGGGTATAACGGTCAATTGGGTCGTAGGCTTGAAGGGGAAAGAGTGAGATGGAAAAGCAGAAGAGGGTGGTGATTATGGTTTTGAAGTTCATCAATGGTTTCATGTTTTTTTAGAGTTGAGAGTTGTGTGTGTGTGTGAGGTCTGAAATTGAAGGGTTTGAAGAGTAGTGAAGGAGGGTTTGTTTGTGATGATGATGATAAGAATTTTTGGTTGAGTTGAATGGTGTAGCTGTGAAGGTAGAGAAAGGGGAAAGGTTTTCTTACTAAAAAACATGAAGATAATGCAACTAGTAGCAAATTATTACATTTGACTTGTTCAACTTTGAACATGAGAAGAATTATTTAGTATTAAAGCTTTTAATACTTTTATTATGTTCATCTAAATTTAAAATGCTCTAGAAGAGGTTAATTTTATAAATTTAAAATTCTCTAAAAGATGAAAAATAATCTTAGATGGTGCTTGTGTCATGGATTTAGAATTGACTTTAAGGTGTGTTTGTTAAGGTTCAAAATTATAAACTTTATATTTGTGTTTACAAGATTACTATTTTAAAAAATAATATTCTTACTTGTCAGGTAAAATTTTAAATTCTGCAAGAATAATAGTATAATTCGTTTGATTTAAAATAATAAAAGACAAGTAACCTTGTTGTGTTTTAATAATATTATGACACATTTATAAGTTTGATTTTTGAATTTGAAAATAGACAATACTTTGTGAAGTGTTGTAATAAGTAATAGAAAATAGACAACGCTTCATGTAGTATTGTAGTAAGAAATTAGAAATCGGCAACACTTGTGAAGTGTGTTAGTAGGCGAAAAATTGTAACACTTAGTAAAAAGCGTTGTTGATAGGGTGTATTTCATCAAGGTCACAACCTTGTGAAACAATACTACTTGGCCTATAAGTTGATCATTTCAGATTCAAAAAATTAATATAAAAAAAAAACATATTTTTCACTATAAATTCCATATGTCTTCTACCTTTCATTTGATTTTTCATCTGTCTTGTGCAAACTCAAAATAGGGTGAATTATCATGAGTATTCATGTATTTGAACTCTAAGACAATTTAGCGAGTTCTTGAAATACTATTAAAAAAGTTATTACATTCACAATTTCCACCTTGATCCATTTAACTTACAATAAATTTCTAACAACTACTTGTAAACAACCAGAAAACTACTTTCTGTCTTCTGGTCATGTGAAGACAGAAACTAACCTAACCTCTCTCTAATAAGATATAGGGGGTGTCGGCGTCAGAGAACTCAAGCTAACTTCGTTGACCAAGTTGATTGGTGTAGCGATCCCTATGAACAAGTCGTCTCCATTAACATTCATATGGCGTTTATCAAAGATTTGTATTCCTTGAAATGCAAGCTTCTCTCTAGCACCTTCTGAGACGCAGCCCTTAGGTGGTACGTAAGCCTACCACAACTTTCAGTCACCAGCTACCAAGACCTAGTGAAAAAGTTGGTTCGTCCGTTTGCAACCAGCGGGCATAGAAAAATGTCTACCATAAGTCTTTTCAACATTTGCCAAGGAAAGAGACATAAAAAATCACAGACATCCATTTCTTCACCTTTGAATTTTGGGTCATTTGATAGTTACATGTCATGTTACTTTGTGTTATCATCACACCACTCGCCTACACTCTCTTTTACTTCACTCAAAATAGCCAAACATTGTTTCCCTTCATGCAT